CAAAATATATATTGTGTGTTTGATTGGTCCAGACGCTACACTCTGCACCAAAGGGGGCATTTGTGGTCCAAGCCCCCCCAAATGAGTTACTGTGCCTCCCTTTCCCCTCCCACGAACGTGAGTGAATTGAACCGAGTGGCGCATTCGAAAGCAATTGCACACACTTTCGCAAGCAGGTGAAACCCACTCACTCAACATGATTTCAGCAGCCGCAGGCTTCCCCTAGAAATATAAATGCTAAAAATATATTTTATGTGCTGTGGCGCCGGCTCTGGTTATAACTGGTACTTGATGTCATGATGCGAAGGACTTGTCTTACTGGAGGACTCTGAGTGGTTCAGGAGAGACTCCAGTTAGAACCAGCATGGGGTCCTGCACAAGATCTATAGGACAGACCACATACATACGCGATTATATACTTATAAGGGCAAGGTGATATAGTGGGGGAGAAAATAAATAAATATTTAAATGTATACATCAAATACATAAATCGATTTATTTGTTTGCTTATTTTAATATACATTTAAATAAACAAATATAATTGTTTATTATACACACACACACACATTTATGTTTTAATATATAAATGTCTACTTTTTTATTTATCATAATTAATGATCAATTTATTTATCATACTTTTATTATATTTATCATAATTAAATATAATACAATTATCATAATTACAAATGTATACTTTATATAAACCATATTTATCACATACACACACACACACATGATATAAAATAATATTATATGGTTTTTGAAAGTGATACTTCTGTTAACCAAGGTACCTTTTAAATAATCAAAAATACAGTGAAACCATAATCAAGTTGCAAAATATTACCATTTGAAACAGTAGCTTTGTAATTCAATCTTGATTTGTGTAGAAAAGACCCATTTTGAGCAGCCAATAGTGCAGTCTAAGACAACACTGCATTAATTCACTCTTTAGCACTGTAATGTGTTAATTTATTGCTAAAGAAACCTCTCTTATTATCTTAGTGCAGTTTAAAAAGGTTGTGCTACTCAATGAAGTGTAGAAAGTCCCATTTTGGCTTCAAAAAGGGCTGTAAAGAAACAGCTTTCTCTAGAAGTTCATAAGTCTATTGCTTATTTGAGAGATAAAGGCTATCGCATGTACCACTGCCTTGAAAGAAGAAAGCAAACTGTATTTAACCAGGACAAAGAGTGAAGTGGACAGCCCAGATGCACAACACTGCAGAAGGCAAGAACTTCAGAGTCTCTAGCTTGAGAAATAGACTCCTCACCGATGCTCATCTGGCAGCTTCAATGATCAATGAAGTTTTTGGCGTGTTCAGACGTCTGAGCTGCTTTCATTATGAAACTAATTCGCCCTTTGTTTTTTTTTTATCACAATCCGCAATGAAGTGAATGTACAAGTTAATACAAAATTGCATAATTTTTTACTATTAGTGCTCCTAAAATTAATAAAAATGGAAACATTTTTTACAAATAAAATCAAAATATTTTATCAAAACATGTTTTCTTGATCATTTTAAATGATTGAGTTAACTACCATGGGTAGTTTGTGATTGACTGATTTTCTTAAATGTACAATAGTGAATAGTGATTTGAATAATTTCCATTTTAATTTACTAACTCAAGTACAGTTCCTAACCCTATATCTATTTCAGTCCGGACTATGTTTTATGTAAATTTGCTTTAAAAATCCACATTGGATAGTCCATTTCCACAGCGCTCAATTTTCTATGCAAAGAAATTGCATACCTCAACTCGTGACATAAAGAACTAATTGCACTACAGTCAATAAGACAAACGCCCAACAACTGCATGTGAAAAATAGCTTTAATGTAAAAATAAGCTTGGTACATTTTTAAAAGAGGAACTCTGTAAAATGTAGTGGAGTTATTTAGCCTTTTAAAATGCTGTTGTGTGAGGGGTTAACAATATGGTATATTTTAAAATGACACCAATGAAAAATGATCAGAAAGTGTCCCACTTTGCCTGTGTGCCCCTATATATGTAAAGGGAAAAGACAGAACATGCTTGAAATGCAGTCTGGACATTGGATAGTCCATTTCCACAGCGCTCAATTTTCTATGCAAAGAAATTGCATACCTCAACTCGTGACATAAAGAACCAATTGCACTACATTCAATAAGACAAACACCCAACAACTGCATGTGAAAAATAGCTTTAATGTAAAAATAAGCTTGGTACATTTTTAAAAGAGGAACTGTGCCTTGAAGCAGACAGAGGAAAGGGCCAATGAAATATTTAGTACATTCTTGCACAAGAGATGTGCCTTCAGAGAAAATATTAATGAGAGTGAAGATGTGCAGACATTGAAGAATCATTTATACCTCGAAGCCAAAAAGGTCTTTGTGATTTATATCAACCCCATAAAAGAGCTGCTTTGATGCAGCCAGCAATTTAAGAGGATGGACTCTTCAGTCTCGTACATATTTAACTCTGTTTTGAGGAACACATTGTTGGTTGTTTATGTAAATTATTTATGTTTCACTCTGTACACATTTAATTCTGTGTTGAGTAACACATTGTTGGTAGTTTATGTCAATTATTTATGCTTTGATATATATATATCTATCTATCTATATCTATATATATATAGAGATATAGATATATATATCTGGTAGAGCTAATAAAATTTCAAACAATTTAGTAAATAAATGACTTCATTTTCTTTGAAAGCTGCAGTGGACTTGTTTGATGACAAATGAAAGACTAATGAATTGCATCAAACTATGTAAACTAATGCAGATTTTCCACTTGAACTTGCATATTAACCCTTTTAAAGTGATACAAATAGCAGCCAAATTCCATAAAAAGGTCATGGAATGTTGATCAATATTTGAACCCAAGTGTGGAAGAACAGAAAGAGTAAATTAATACATAATTTTCATATAAATCCTCAATAACTATCCATAATGTATTTGGCCACTTCATCATTCAATGCAAAATAGTTTAAAATCACAACACTAAAATATGACATAGCATGTAAAATATTTCTTACATATTAAATTAATATCTTTTATTGAGGTTCATTGAATGGTATAATGTGCAAGTATTTCATTGGTCCAAAGCATTGTACGAGTCTAGACTGTCAATGTCCGTTCCTTCAGTGACTTCCTGTTCGTCTGTGTCCGTCTTCCCCATGGCAAAGTTAATGAAAACCTAAGGAGACAAGTCAAGACAATCGTTTAGTCTCCACACCACCACCTCTGTGTCTCTTTTCATTTCTCTCCACTTCCTTCACTAAACATTCAAGAACTACTCACTTGTTTACTCCTTTATTCACTATTAGTTAATAGACAAAGTAATATTTTGTCATTATTTATTCACATTTCAGTGTATTTTGGTCTTTTCCTCGCACACTGACTTCAAAAGGTATACGATATAGTGTAAGGACTACTTTTATAGGTCTCTTATAGCTTGACAAATCACTACGAACTGCAGTTGTATTGAAAAGAGCTGTGTGAAAATTCTTCAGACAAAGAAAATCTACCTTTGTGTTTCACAGAACAACAGCATGAGGGTAAATAAATAATGACCACAATCATCTTATGTATCTTACCTCATCTAGAGTGGTCTGGCAGACTGAGAAGTGTTTGATTTGCAGTACAGCTTTTCAATAATTAAAAAAAAATAAAACATATATTTAGGTTTTATTTTTCCTTTCATTTTCTAAAGAATGTTCTGAGACTGCATTGATTTTACTCTAATGACAGCCTTAGCATAAATCTTCATATAGTTTTGTGAAATACAAAATTAATTGGCATATAATTTTTTATATTTTTCTTCAATTCATACATCTAACATCTAATAGATGGTTGCTTAGTACAATGACAATGTAAAGGCCAGTTATTGTCTTTATACGATCATCATGCTTAATATTTTTCTCAGCACAAATAGGTCTATATACATGAAAATATGTAGCTACCTTTATAATTTACAAAAGATGTCCCTCATATTTAAAAGAGGATCATCATATTTGAATGTCTTTAGCACCAAAAAGCTTGAAAACCCCTGGTCTAAGAGACTCGATTTTGGCTAAATGTGTCATTACTACCACCTATTTGTTTGGAGGAAGTGATCATACCTGTGTGATGTCAGGACCACAGCACATTTGCCCATCACTTGCTCAGAGATGATCTTCCAAAGGTGACGTTTGGAACGTGGGTCCATTCCAGAGCTGGGTTCATCCTGAGAGGTTAGAGGAGACATGTACAGTAAGAAACATGTGGGATGTTTCTCTGCGCTTACAGAACAAAAGAAAAACCTAATGCAAAACCCACACACTCTCCAGGTAAATGCAATCGTGCAATGTACCGAGCCAAAATTTGAAGTCAGAATAACTGATGTGCTGTGAGACTTTGGCCAAACAGCACACCGACGCATTTCAAGAGGTGTTTGTAATAAGAGTGCAACATTTTACACATTCAAACTCCTCTAAGCAAACACTCAAGACAACATGCAATACAGTGATTTATAGTGTAGCTCTATGACTAACTCAACAGTAACTAGTCTCAGCTTAGCATAATGTGCATTTTTTTACTCACCAGGAGAAGGATCTGAGGGTTTCCGATCAGGGCCAAGGCTGTCGACAGTTTCCGGCGTGTTCCACAACTGTAGCTCTCACTTGTGTTGTTTCTGTGGTAATTCAGCTCCAACTTTTTCAACAGATAGTTCACAACCTAAAGAAAAAAAAGATCAAATAATGAGATTCTCATAGCGTGTATCATAATAATGGAATGTTAGATAAGAAAGCAGATAATTTGATCTTCTGATGGAAATATACAGTAAGCGCTTCTTACACATGCAAAATTCACAATTTTAGGGTGTTGTGGTTGGTTGCCAGGGCGTTGCTAAAGTATGTGGTTGCTAAGGTGTATTTGGGTGTTGTTATGTGGTTTACTGGAGTTTCTTCCAATCCTTTTAAACACTACTAATAATGTAAAAAATAATTATACTGCACTACCCGTCAAAACAAAAGCTTGATGGTTTAATGTTAGAAGAAATTAAGACAGCCTCAAATATAACTCTTGTCATTTTACATCTGTACTATAAAATAAAATTATGATTATTACTATTTTTTTTCTACAGTGAAATATTACAATAGTAACATATTATTGTTTAATATTTTTAGTTTATTATATATTATATATTAATATTATTACTATAATAATAATCACTCTTATCATTATTATATAGCC